ATTCGAGCTCTTTGATGCAACAGAGCCATATGCGCGATGGATACAGACCGCTTCGTTGATAGAAGTCTTACATGCGGCGTTTGGTATGTTCATCATTCCTACCTCTTCTTGTGCATCTCATTGAGAACGATACCAGGTGTCATCAAATCTCCAGTCAGCACAACCGCACTTCAAGTTGTTACACGCGTCATACAGGTTTGGATGGTGTGGTACAGCTTTCCGCAAAGCACGGCAACTTCGCATGCTTATCTTGCCTTGCTCCTTGCTTGGTCGGTCGCAGACACCATCCGGTACCTGTATCTTGCGGTCAACATGCACGGGAAAGCCCCGAGAGGACTGGTGTGGCTCCGGTATGTTCTCAAGCCACCTCATCCGCTACTTGGTCCTACCTAGGTAGCTGACTGTCCCAGGTATACCATGTTCTACCCACTCTATCCGGTCGGTATCGGGGCTGAGTGGTGGTTACTGTACCGGTCTATTACTCCTGGAGCGAAGGTCAGCCCAGTCATACCGCTCGTCTTCTACTTCTGCTTGATGCTGTACATTCCAGGTAAGATTCTTTTATGGCGGCTTGTTTATACTCGAAATTCACATCTTATTAGGTTCCTACACCATGTACACCTACATGATCAAGCAAAGAAGGAAGACACTGGGTTCCAGACACAAGGTCCAGTAAGCGCATGGATTTGGTTGCGTTCCAGCACGAACGTAGTCATATGCAAAGGATGGGCAGTCTTTTTGAACAGCTCTGTCTCCGTAACGGCTAATGTCTGGAATGTGGGAAGACACGCGCAATGGCATTAGCCCGGGACAGGCCAAGGCTGCAATGAAGGCTAGCGTATGTGATATGACAGGGCCGACACCAAGGACGAAGACGAAGAGCATGATAGTATTGCAAGAGGTTAGCATGACCGACGGTAGTAATGTTTAGAAAGAAGAATATATAACCATAAGAACCGGACCCACATATGGCAGACAGGTTAGATGTAGGAAACCTTGACGCCCATTCCTACGGTACGTCTCACCTTGTCCCACGCACTCCGTATGATGCGTAGTATCCTCTCTCTAAGAGGGCGCCTGCCAAACGCCAAGCCAAACGCCAACAAGAAAAGTAAGGTACGGAAGAAAGCCATGGGATTGGAAGTCATGTGATGGGCCGTATCGGAAATCAGGGTGTGCATGTTTGCGAACATGGTAGACGCGCGGTTGTAGAGGCCGGGTGGTGGTGTGGTTGGTTTCTTGGCGGGCGTTCGGGAGGTGCGGGAAGACTGCGATGGCGTGGGTTGTGGCTCGTCTGAGCCGCGGGGTTGGCGTCTGTTTTGTTCCTCGCGTATGCGGCGTTCGTCTTGTGCGCGCGCCTGGTCGAGGCGCTGGGCCTCGGTTTCTCTGCGGCGCTGGTCCATTTGCTCCTGTTGTTGCTGGCGCAGCTTCTCTTCGCGGGCTTGCGTGTCTTCCTTTTCTTCCTTGAGAGAGTGCAGTGCGAGCAGGAAGGCTTCCTTGCGCTCTTGGTCCAGCACCTCGGACATGTCGATGAAGTCGCGGGCATAGTCCCATTCGTCGTTGCGTGGCAGGACGTGCAGGGTGTAGAGCTCGAGGAGTTTGATGCGCTTTTCCAGGTCGCGCGGGGTGTCAGACAGGTGTGCGGAGGCGTCGGGGGCCGGGTTGGCCGTGGCGGACAGGTACGTCTCGAGCTTCTGCTGGTTGAGCCGCTGCGAGGGCGCATGGGTAAGGAGGAGGGTGGCGAGGTTGACGACCACGTCGGCGTCGACGTCGCCCTCGACACCCGCATAGCCGTCGCGGACCACGTGGTCCCAGATGCTGCCGTCGCGACACTGCGAGACCAAGTGCTTCCATCGCGTGCTGCCAAAGGCGTGCTTGCCCTCTTCGGCGCCCAGCTCGACCACGGCGTTGAGGAAGGTGAGGTAGAAGCTCCACACCTTGACCCGGGTGCCGCGCGACGCCGTCGCGACGGGCGCGTGGCCCACGACGTCGGCCGCGTCGATTGGCGGCGGGCTGATGATGGGCTCGATGGTCGACAGCGCCTCGGGGAGGCGTCGCGTCAGGAACAGCTGGGCAGCCTGTCGGTAGGCTTTGGCCATCTGCGACGACTGTTGCCGTGACGTCGAGAGCGACGAGATGGATGATGAGAGGTAGCGCGACCCGCTGACGTCGTCGTAGAGCGTCGCCATGTTTCGATGTCCTCTGAGCTTCACGAGCGCACAGCGGTGGGTGACGGAGCGCCCGGTGTCAACATTTCGAACCTCGGCTGACCTCACCTCACCCGAACCGCCTTGGCGCGTCACCTGCCTCCGACACCCCGAGCTATCTGCGTTTGCATCAGTCTGTAGACGTTGTCAAGGTGCTTGACGCGCGCTTGCCTGCGTCAAGCTCAGAGGCAGGAGCTAGACACGCGCTTTGTCGCTTGATCCATCGCTGCTAACCTCCACGACCATCTCTACGCGTCTCGCCATCATGGACGTCGACGCAGCTACCTTCCCGCACCACTTGCTGGCCATCTTCATCCACATATCCGAGGCCGACTTTGTGTCTTTTGATCTCGAACTGTCCGGCATTCCATCGCGCATCCAAGACAAACCTGCACATGGCCCGGCCCGCTTCACCATGGAGGAGCGCTATGCCGAGACCAAAATGGGCGCCGACCGCTATCAGATCCTACAGGTAGGTATCACCTGCGCGCGCTTCGACTACCTTGCCAACACCTATGTCTTGAGGCCTTACAACATCAACATCAGCCCGCTTTTCGACGAGCGCATCGACTTTGAGCGTGAGATCAAGTTTCAGAGCGGCGCGTGTACCTTCCTCCTCAACAATGGTTTCGACCTGGGGGCTCCATTTGCCACAGGCGTACAGTACTTATCCCGCGACGAAGCAGAGCGAGCAAAGCGCATGGCCTGGGATCGACTCGAGAACAAGAATCCCATACCCGATCTGCAACTTAACTCGGCAGATGTCGAGTCGCTCGACTTTATGCGCAGGGTGAGGCAAGCCATTGAGAAATGGAAATCTAGCACTTCGTCGTCCTTGGACATTACAACTCATACAGGGCTTTCCACTCCGCCCGTAATACCCGTCATCACGCGATTCGAGAAGCGTCTCGTGCATCAGCTCGTGCGCGCAGAGTTCCCAGAGTTGGTGTCCATAGGACGCGGAGAGTGTGTTCGTATCCTCCATCTAGACCCTGTGCGTGAGGCCGACAACATGCGCAGGATCAAGAACCGCGTCAAAGAATCCATTGTCCGACAAACCGGCTTCCGCTGGGTCTTCGAGGCTTTAGTCAAGGGCGGCGACATCAATCGCGCGGATCCACTCTATGTCGCACGCACTACTGGCACCATCGTCACTGCCGACGCACATGATATAAGGGATCGCTACGACAGAGCCATAGAGAGACTTAAAATTAAGCAGCCCGTGCTAGTCGGCCACAACATGTTCACTGACATTGTCTACTTTTATCGTACTTTTGTCGGCCAACTGCCTGCACGTGCAACATCTCCTCATCTGGTCAACGCGCTAACTCTGTACAGGATACCCTGCAAGGCTTCCAGGATGCCATTCATGAGCTGTTCCCCAACATCATCGACACTAAATATCTAGCGACTCATGCTGAAGGCGACCTCAACGCCTCCCCTACACTACAGGATATTGCCGAGAATTCAAGTCTGCAGCCGTTGCCCCACATCGTCACGCATGCCGACCATCCAAAGTACCAAGAGACTGAGGCCTTCCACGAAGCAGGCTATGACAGCCTCCTTACTGCCACCATCATGATCAGGCTCGCCGCCAAGCTTGGTGCGGAGCGAGGAGAACAGGTTCCGGCGCCATTGCCCAGCCGTTCCAGTAACAAAGCGAAAGGAGTGTTGGCGGAAGATGTTCAGGATTTTCTAAAAGATGGACGCGAGAAGGTCGACCTGCCCGTTCCCCTGCCCCCAGTGGAGCAGCCTCAACCCAAGAAAACAAAGAAACAAAGGGCCAAGGCTAGGAAAAAGGAGGCAAGACAACAACAATTCGAAACTAAGAACCTATTCGACACGCTCAAAGCTCTGAGCCCTGACGCCGAATCTTCCTCGACTGAAGATGACGGAGAGGTTAAGCTTCCTGAAGATAGTGAACTTGCAAAATGGGACGAACAGGTTCAAGACGTCGCCGGGTCATGGGAAAATGACGTCTACGTCCAAGATAAGACGGGATGGGTGCCGTTGGAGCAGGTTAAGCGACAGCCAATGGAGCTCATCCCAGCCTTTGATTCAGAGTTTTGGAACGAGTTTGGCAATACATTGCGTGTGTTTGGCACTCAAGAAGCTGTCCTGAAGATTGCAGAGTGGGAGGTTTGAAAGCCGCGCAAGCTTGACTCCAAGCTAATAAAAGGTGGAGTTGGCACCAAGGTTCTCATGGTTGTGTACAATCTTGAAGAGCTAAAGTTACGCCGTGAGCGGTAGTAGAAAGACAAACATGTGTTGTCTCTAATGCGCAACTCGTCTCTGTGCCCATCATGGTGATTTATCATAAGAGACAGTGGTTTGAGTGCGTAACAAAGAGTTCTTCAATGTCTTCCCCTCTTCTTGTAAAGCATGGACACACAGGTTCGGCATTTGCCGCTCATTTCAACGCCCGCCCATGTCATCACCCATATACAGTCTGCTTCTACCGTACACGAACCCGACTTTCGGTCCAAAAGATCGCACCTCCTCAGATATACACGATTTGCCTTTTTCAATCGATGCATATGACTCTGACAGACTACTCATACACCATCACTTCGAACGGCCAGCTCCAACAGATCTCTGCAGCGGTCTCGTGTGCTCTTCAGGACGTCATAGCGTATTCGAAAGATTCCGCAGGGAGAATGCTCGACTTGACATGTATGAGTCCGCAGTTTGACGGAAAATGGTCTCGGGATCGGAAGAGGTAAAGGATATAGGCAGGTTGTCAGGTAATATCAAATTGAAGGGTCGACGTCTGGTGCTGTTGACACAAAGTTTTCAACAACGTGCAGGACCAGCGCCTATGGCTTCTACTGGCTCGATGTTCACCTCCACCGCTTTTGTCTGTGTCGTACTCGATGGGACGATCCCTCGGTTGTGCTCTTCGTCGGAGCCGGGCACATCATTTTCCTGGGGTAATGGCTCAAAGTGCGCATTGTTGACTCTTTTCCTATCGATGCGACGTCTCCAAGGCTTGTACAGCAGAACACTGAGACCACCGAAAACGATAAATGTACCGCATATAGCTCCGCCTGCATCCTGTTAGTGTCGAATTCTTTTAGTGCGATCAATCAGCTCACCAACTATATCCCAAGCATCGCCCAGCTTTTCGACGCCTTCCCAAAACTTGCCGTGCGGCTCGGCAACGTTGAGCACCAGATTGAGGAACTGCACTGTCCCGATGATGGTCGCGACAACCACGGTAATGACTGTTAGCACAATGCTGTAGTAGCAAATGGCGATCGGGTCGCGCGCAAGTTGCGTGCTTGTGTACAGACTCATCATCAGCGCACCATCGGTGGTATCGAGAAGGCACATGCCTGCTGTGAAGAGCAGTGGAAAGATCAAGATCAGCCAAATTGATGTCCCCTTCGTGGCTTGAATCGAACTTATTCCTAGGATAGCGATCTCGGAAGAAGTGTCGAAACCTAGCCCGAAAAGTACACCCAGAGGATACATCTTCCAGGGTCGGTCGACCAACTTGAAGAGCTTCTGCAATATCGGGAAGAGGCAACCGCCGCCCTGTATCTTGAACTGTTCGTGCTCACTACCAGGGTCGCTCGAAACCATCTTTCGCATCTGTACTATGAGCTTGTACAGAATGTAGATGTTCATAAGACCAAGGAGCAACAAGAAAGCAGCAGAGACTGAAGTGCCGATAATGCCACCGACACGCTCGAAATTGTCAAACTTGTCTGACACCGCCGCTGCAGTTCCTGCAACGAGGAGCGACGTGATGATGACGATGGTAGAATGTCCGAGACTGAAGAACATTCCAACCGTCACTGGCCGCTGGCCTGCAGCAACCAGACGGCGAGTCATGAGATCGATCGCCGAAATATGATCTGCATCCAGGGCATGGCGCAAGCCCAGAGTGTACGAGAGGATTGCTGTCGAGATCAGTGGCGTATGCCAGTGCTGCCGACGTTTAGCATATGCGATCAACGCCATTTGGATTCACCTTCTTTACTTACTAAGACTATACCAACTGCCGCCCAAACAAGGAGGTTTACAGCGACGAGGGTGATGATGATTGCGATTGCCGCGAATGGGAGCCTTCTGAGGTAGGGTGTCTGCGCATGATATGCAGATGCTTTGTTGGATGCATTGCGAAAGAATGATAATTTGCACCCTGCATCGCTACCCACTACAGATGAGGGGCGGGAGGTTGCCATTCTACTCGCTCTCGCTCTCGGGTGTAACAAAGGACACGAGAAATTGCGATCGAAGTGTGATAGAAAGAGAAAGAAGTTTAGAGAGGTACCTATAATGAAGCTTGGAAGGTAAGTATCGCAGAGCACCGTGGGATGCAAATGACGCCAAGTGGGGCTAGCAGCTGTTATCGTGACCCTCTGGCGGGGTAATTAGCATCATGGTGTACTAATAGTCGCGAATCCACAAAACCTCGGCATCAAGTTTTGACGATCAGAAGCTCGTATTGTATATGGTGAACTATCGTCGACTCTCAGATTTTGCGGAAGCATAGACATGCGTTGGTGCCACCAAAACCGAAGCTATTCGAGAGAGCCACATTGACTCTGTGCTGTTGAGCAGCATTGGCGACGTAGTTGCAGTTAAAGTCAACCGCCGGATCTCCTGGATTCTCAAGATTGAGAGTCGGAGGTAGGATGTTCTGGTCATCGTCAACATGTAGGCTATGGCAAGAACCACATCTGACTTACGTGATGCATCCCAAGAATCGTGAAAATTGTCTCCACGCTCCCTGCAGCACCCAGAAGATGTCCGACCGCACCTTTTGTACTGCTCACATTGATTTCACAAGCTCTATCCTTTCCGTCTTCGCCAAGCAGAAGCTCTTTGATGGCTCGGTTCTCCGCAGCATCACCTAGTGGGGTGCTCGTCGCATGGGCGTTCACGTAGTCGACAGCGCTTGGCTTGAGGCCGGCATGTCGTAGTGCATGCTTCATTGCGAGACGTGGACCTTGGCCATCTTCGCGAGGTGCCGTCATGTGGTGTGCGTCGCTGGACAGTCCGTAGCCGGCGACTTCAGCATAGATGTTCGCACCTCGCTTCCTTGCGTGCTCGAGTTCCTGCACCTGATTAGATACGACAGGTACGGCAACCTTGCACACAGCGATCGCGTACCTCGAGAACCACAACTCCGGCTCCTTCTCCAATGACAAAACCATCCCGTTCTCGGTCGAATGGTCGACTGGACTCCATGGGCCGTTCATTGAACTCAGTAGCCAGGCTTCTAGCCCTAGCAAAGCCTGATATGGCGAGAGGATGAATGCATGATTCAGCTCCGCCGGCTATCATAACATCTGCATCTCCGAACTGAATCAAACGTGACGCGTCTCCGATGCTATGTGCTCCGGTCGTACATGCTGTTGTTGCCGCATGGTTCGGTCCCTATCATGGCTCAGCATCAACAAACATAGCCAGAAGGTTATAGCCACCTTGAACCCATAACGCATCGATATGTGACCTGCGGCTAGGTTGATCAACAGTCGTGGAACAAAGAGCGGGGACACCTTTCGGTAACCCTAGCACAATCAGTTGACAGTTACGATCGATAGCTGGGACAACCCACGCCTCTCTCATAAGCAATTGTGGTATCATACACATCGTCTAAACTGCCGATACCAGATCCCATGTACACTCCCTATCTCGGCGTGAGTAAGATGCAGGCTGGGCGGATGCTGAGCCTCCGTACTGTGACTTCAAGATCGGCCTCTTCCTTCGAAAACCATCCCGCATCATTGAGAGCTTCATCGGACGCCACCATGGCGTACTGTGCGAAGCGTGCCATACGGCGTTCATCCTGTAATAAAATTAACATTGTCAAAGACGAGAACGTTGGGTGGCGGCACATACGCTGTGGCTTAGATGCTCCTTTGTATTCCATTTGCCATCGGTTTTGCTACCCTGAGGAACCAGACCAGCGACTTGGCTCGGTAGCAGCGCGAATTCAGGGCTTCTGTCTTTGATGGAAACGATGCCACACTGGCTATCGATCAGACGCTTCCAGGTTCGTCGAACACCTATCCGCGTTAGGAGAAATGGGATCAAAGCAAGGTGAACGTCGCGTCACCTAGTCCAAGAGGGGTTACAAGCCCTAAGCCTGTTACTACTACCCGTCGCATCGCATGTCAGTAATTATGGTTGATGTTGGATACGGACGCGTTTGGGTGGGCAGGGAGAGCTAGTGTCACGCGCAAGCCACGTGTGGCGTCCGTTAGCGAGAGGTGCGTGCTACATAGCCGTGATTGCGTCCGTCCTTGTTGTTTTAGGTGCCTTCATTTCGCTCCCATCGCAGGAATTCTATATAGTGCACGGTGAGCTTGGTTTCCATTTGCAGCCGTTGACTGGTCAGAGTACGCTTTGCGCCAGTCGGTTGATGCATTAATTCGACGATGACAAGTCGTATTTGGGCCAACAAAATATTTCTGTGTACTATAAAAGCCAGACAACAACCTGCAATTTGCTCATGACCATCGCAATCAAAGTCGGGAGAGCTCAACCTTTCTGTTGTTGTCCAATCATCTAACTTGAAACACCTGCGGGCAGCCGGTGACTCTGTCTCTTGATTGCACTCGAGGGTTTGGCGACAGTCTTCGTGTTGTTGCACAACCTCATGGGAGAAATCGTATGGTAACGCCATTTTGCGCAAAGCAGTGATTATGTCGCCAAGTAAGTGAAAACAATCCTAGACGATGGCGGACAGGCAACACTCGGAGGGAAGCCTCGAGTCTTGTCTCGGGCATTGCGGGGAACTTTGGAAGCAGTGTCAAGAGTATCAAGGCTTGGGCAGACATTTCAAAAAACCAATCTAGGCAAAGGGTGATGGTTGATGTTTGACAGATCGAGGGCATCATACGGGCCAGGCAAATCCCAAAAGCACGTCATTGTCTTGGCGAGCCTCGTCTAGCGGGCGTCTGCAAGCAGCACTCGACACCAATGTGATGACTCCCCACAATGTGATCGATACGCCAGACTTCCTGCAACGCAGGCTCCACTCTTCCCTACGACTACACGTACGACATCGCGACTATGGATACCTATGGATCTGCCAATGGATCGACGAAGTACAGTAGGTGCATTTTGAACTTTTCTTGCCGTCGCAAGCATTTCGGACAGGCAAAGCAAGAACGGCTGGTTGCTGTAATTTGCTATGCGGAATGTTGAAGAATCCAGACGGGTTTTCTTGACGCGTTCTGGCGGTGCATGATCCAAACTGACATGCGGTAGGGACGGTGTCGTCGCAGCCCGAGAATCCGTTCGCCAAACTTATCCCCGACCAGACCTTTGCCGTCATCCCCCGGGTCACGCTCGAATCCGGCGTCGTGTTACACAATGTCAGCGTTGCCTACAAGACCTACGGTACCCTCGCGCCCAGCGGAGACAATGCCATGGTGATATGCCATGCGCTCACCGGAAGCGCTGACGTGGGAGACTGGTGGGGACCGTTGCTAGGTGGGCCTGGGAAGGCTTTTGATATATCGCGCTTCTTCGTCGTCTGTATGAACAGTCTCGGCAGTCCTTACGGGAGCGCAAGCCCGGTCACAGCAAAAGATGGCGACGTCTCGCTGGGTCCGTACGGACCCGAGTTTCCACTGACAACTGTAAGAGACGATGTCAAGTTAGTCGAGCGAAATCTGGAATTCGTACTTGGAAGCCGCTAACGGGCACAGTGTCTTCAAGCTCCTCTTGGATGATCTTGGTGTGAAGCAGGTCGCTGCCGTCATTGGAGGATCCATGGGCGGTATGCTTGTCCTCGAGTTTGCCTACTTCGGAAAAGACTACGTCAAGACCATCATCCCGATAGCCACTTCCGCTCGCTACAGCGCATGGGGCATCAGCTGGGGCGAAGCGCAACGGCAAAGTATCTACAGTGACCCCAAATACGACGACGGCTATTACGCATATGAAGATCCTCCATCGACCGGGCTTGGAGCCGCACGCATGTCTGCTTTACTGACTTACAGAAGCCGCGACTCGTTCGAATCAAGATTTGGGCGCAACACACCAGACCTATCCAAGAAACAGAGCATCAATACTGTACCGCGACCGACCACTCCGTCCAATCCCTCCCATGAACACTGGGCGATACACAACCACGGTCACAAGAACGCTGGCTCGCCGCGTCTGATGTCACGGACAAACAGCAGTACCGCCATACCCGGTTCTGCAGCCGCACATGCCGACCTCGAGTTCCATGATGCATCGGACCCAGCCACTCCGAACCTCGAAAGGTCAAGCTCGACAAGTAGCAACAGTCAATTCCCGCGCTCATCGAAGCCTCTTGCGCCGCACTACTTCTCAGCACAGTCCTACCTCCGTTACCAGGCCGACAAGTTCATCAAGCGTTTTGACGCTAATTGTTACATCGCAATCACAAGAAAGCTGGATACGCATGATGTATCCCGCTACCGCTATCCTGAAGGCGAGACACCCGACACACTAGATCCAGTATCGGCCCTTCATTATGCGCTTTCCTTGATTGAACAGCCTACACTGGTACTAGGTATACAGTCGGACGGTCTCTTCACATTTGCCGAACAGAAGGAATTGGCCGCTTGTATTCCCAAGGCTACACTTAAGACGATCGATTCTCCAGATGGTCACGACGCCTTCCTCCTGGAATTTGAGCAGGTAAACAAACACTTACTAGGCTTCCTCGAGACCGAGCTTCCAGAGATCATGAATAGAACACCAAACGTAGAGACCGCAACAAGCGATTCTGGTATGGTCGCCACCAAAAGCAGCACGTTTGGTGAGGCTGAGGTCGACGATATCACGGCATGGTAAGAAGAATGGGAGCATTGAATTTGGCACGGCGTTCTGGGTTCAGAGGATAACTGCACTGGTCGGCGTACAAATTTCGGTATAGGCTTGAAAGAAGGCTGCATGAGTATAATGCGCCATGGGGCGTCCCGAGCTGAGGTTCAACCCCTCGTAGACACCAAGTATTGCAGCATGAGAGCAGCAACAACAACAACCCAATAATTCTCTCCTCTTAGTTTTCCCGAATCTTTCAACTCTGTCACAAACGGCTCGCACATGTCCAATCTACCTCATGTCTGTACCCCGCCTTGCACGCTAATCGTTAGTCGTCTCCGCACGTCCACCGTCTCGCGTGCCCCTCATCCTCGGTTCGTATACACAGCGGATACTCCCCGCAGACCTTGACACGAACGTGCTTTATCCGATCTGGTCTCCCGAGTTGCAGTGCCGTAGGATCACGAGGGCTTCGGTGACGATGCACGGTAGATTATGAACGCAACGTCTTGACAATGGTAGAGGGATTATCTGTGTACCGAATTCGGACTGCTCATGCTTTTGCGACCCCGATCAGTAACCTTCGACTATCCGTACAAAGGCCAAGAACAAGGTCCGTTAAGTTGGACCCCCGCACATAGGACAGTGGGTGCCGGGTGTCCGTGTTGATACATATATAGGTGTATTCGGAGTGACTCGATGTTCCTCAATCAGCCATAGTCCCTTTCTTCACATCGTCCCGAATACAGTAACATTATGCAACTCCCCAAAACACAAAAGGCGGCCATCAAACAAGGCACCGGCGACAACGCTACGATTACCATCAAGGAGATTCCTGTCCCGGAACCAGCTCCTGACCAGATTCTCGTCAAGATAAACTACAGTGGCCTCTGTGCCTCGGACAAATCCCTGCTCCATGATGAGTGGGACTTCAAGATGGCCGAATGTACCAAAGGCATCGCAGGCCATGAGGGCGCTGGCATCGTTGTAGCCGTTGGCGCAAACGTGCAGGATCTCTGGCAGCCTGGTAATCGCGCTGGTATCAAATGGATTGCGTCTGTATGCCGACGATGCGAGTTTTGTACTAATGGCCAAGACGAATGTCATTGCCCGAAGCAGCTGAACAGTGGATTTACTGTTGCGGGAACGTTCCAGGAGTATTGCTTAACGGATGCGAGGTATGCGACGAGATTGCCTGATGGTGTCAAAGACGAGGAGGCGGGCCCGATCATGTGTGGTGGTGTTACAGCATATGTGGCTTGCAAGAGAAGTAAGGTACTCCCCGGGCAGTGGATTGTCATTCCGGGAGCGGGTGGTGGTGAGTATGCGCATAGCGCTTTTGTGTCCTCTTCCGTCTTTCGCAGCGACGAAATTGAAACCGTCATATAAGATGATACTGATACCACCCAGGCCTTGGTCATTTTGGTGTTCAGTACGCTCGCCATATGGGTATGCGCGTTATTGCCATCGACGGCGGCGCCGCCAAACGCGATCTCTGCCTCTCTCTTGGTGCCGAGAGGTTTATCGACTTCACTACATGCTCGGACATCACTTCCGAGATCATGAAGATTACTACTTATGGCGCCCATGGCGTGATCGTTTTCGCAGCAACGAAAGCAGGCTACGAACAAGCGCCAAACTTGCTGAGACCCAACGGCACGATGGTGTGTGTAGGTCTACCGAAAGATTCGTCGATCATTGCGGGAGCTAGTCCAATCCTGATGTGCCTCAAGAGATTGAATGTTGTGGGAAGCGTGACAGGAACGCTAAAGGACGTTGAGGAGGTGAGTGTTATTCTCGCGAGCTAGGTAGGGAGACTGCTACTAACTGGGCGGGTAGGCACTCGACTTTACTTCGCGAGGACTCGTACATCCGATTCTGACTCATGGTGGTTTGGAGGATATTGATCGGTTCTGTGCAGACATGAATGCAGGGAAGCTTGCTGGACGGGCTGTTATCAAGATCGCTGCGTAGATGGGTACAGTCCACGATGCTCTACATCAAGTAGGAATTTGATACCGCCATGCTACACTCAAGATAGATCTGCGCCAAACCCTACGTGAAGCAAATCAGAGGCGAATCATTTTTCTGCTCTGCTTGACTCCTTTCCTTCGTTATGATGCGGCTGAATGCGTGGCTGAAGGGTTTACGAGTGGCTGTGTTTTACAATGGGTTCATCTTAACTTGCCTCCAAATACTAGTCAGCGCTCTTTGGAGCACTACCTCGGTGACAGACCTACTCAAATGTAGCTCTCGATCTGCTATTGAAGAATAGAGTAACCAGCCACGGAGGCATCAGCGAAATTTAAGGTGGTGGATGATGACGGTATGGAGAGGATCATAGGTTTCAAATCAAGACCAGGATACTAGACGAAGCTGTCGAGACAAAGGTGCCGGTTGCCACGAATATGCCGGATATGAGTGTGAGACACGCATAGAGTGCATGACTGCAGATATCCGCTATGCGATGTATGATTGTCCTAGGGCTAATTTGAGATAGCGATAGTCATCTGGCTCTTCACCCTACGCAAACCGTACCACGGAAATTGTTTATTGAAAATGTCTTTGGCGTGGCACAAGCAGGATTGCCTCATAGGTGACGCGAAAGTGAGGGAAAGATGACGTAGAAAGACAAAAAGACGATGTTCGAAAAGGAGCGGCAAAGAAGAAAGGAAGATAGTCGAGCAGGAAGAAGGTGTTGGCGATATCTGGAATCGGACAGGAGGGTGCGACCTGCGTGTGTCGGTCAGTATAGGCCACAAGGCGAGCGTGTCCGAGGTACGGAGGACAAAGACAAGCGGCGAACGCGTGCCGCCTGCGCCAGCGTACTGCGAACCCGAGCCGTGGGATTGCAATTAGCTGATGACTTCCGCATGCCTAGGGCAAGAAGCCGTCATGTGTCGAAGCCAAGATAAAGCCGACCTAGGGCGAGGCCTGACTCAGCTAAAGTGGCGCGGTTTGCGTTAGCAGGGCGCGGGGCGTGTCATGGTGGTGGAGCCGAGACTGTCAGCGTGGTGTGGGAGCAGCGAGAAAAGCGATGGTGTGGTGATTCTAGGCTCGGTGGGAGGTGCGCGAGATTCCCAGCTGAGGCAAAAAGCACGCAGGGTGGAGTGGAGTGCGGCGGACGACGGATCGCTTGCAGAGGTGCAGGACTCGACTTGGCTCAAAGGGGCGGGTGGGCCTGTTTCTAGGTCCTGTTAGCGGCATCTGGAACGTCTTCAGGCCTTGACGAGTTATCCTTGCATGGCACCAACAACTGCAGGGCAGCTGATAGCAACAAGTGATGCTCCTCTTCTCCGTCAGCTTCCATTCGCACTGCCCTGCGCTGTCAATCTCTCCGTCAGACTTGTGTCGCATCTTCCTCGGTCACATACGACGCGCCCCGTCCGCATTTCATTCCACAGCAGGACCACCCCTGTCGTCGCTTTTAGATATACCCAACGCGCCTGCCACCGCTTCTTTCGCTTCTGCAGCTCCTGTGGCGTCATCTCGACAGCGACGCTGGACTTTGTCCGTTTGCTCGACTTACTTTTTCCTGACGAGAACAAATCACTGTGACACATCGAGTCCGGGGATTCCATCGTCAAACCACTACCGCAAGCCACCCGTTCATGGCGCCTTCTCCTCGATAGGTCCATGAGCTGCTTTGGCACCACACGCCGCTTCCAAATACAGCGCCGATACCTACACTAAAGTCGTGCCCTGACCTTGGCCTAGAGCCCTGCAGCCTTGCAGCCATCTACTCTTCAACGCACCGCCCTGCTCCATAGACTCGACCACTGAAGCCATGGCTCAAACACGTGCACCACGGCCTCGCTCGACAAACCCTTCGCCGGCCACGTCAACATATGGATACCACAACACCTACCACACCCACGCCCAACTGCCCATCGGGTCGCCGCCCTCGTATGCTCGCGCAACCGATCCTCAGACCCGTCGCGTCCTAGACGAAAGGACAAGGAGAGAGAAAGAGGCGGTGCGCAGTATCCAGTCACCCCCGCCCTACACCTGCACCGTCGAGATGGAAGGACTTGTTGGCATCAAGCAGGAACTATCCTCGCCATTCCAGGTCTCGGGACATCGAGAATGGCATGATGTCTACGCCATACTTCGAGGCACGCAGTTGAGCATACACCGCATAAAGTACCCGCGTCTCCTCAGCAAGAACAAAGAGCCATGCCCAGGTCGCTTGTTGCGAACCTATTCCTTGCAGCATGCTGAAGTTGGCGTGGCATCTGATTTCAAGAAGACGTTGCTGATACCAAAGTCTCCTTTCGCCCACCTGGTGCCCGCTGTCGCTCGGCCTAAACTGTACGAAACGGATCCACAGCTTTTCGAGCCTGTACGGGAACATGCCATCCGCCTGCGCCTGGAGTTTGAGCAGTTCTTGCTCTGTCCGTCGACCGAGCAAGGCATGCTCGACTGGGTGGAATTGTTTTGCGCCGCCATCGACATCAGTGCACCCCTAGAAGATCGCAGCGAGCCCCGCTACAGAAGTCTTCCTCGAAGGGGCAGGCGTCAACGCATTTTGGACAACGCGCAGTTCGGAGAAAACCTCGAGAGTCTGACAAGTCTAGAAGCCGGCCGACGCATCGTTGCACAACAGGAGCAAATTATCCGCCAACTTTACCCACATCTGGCTGGCACCCGCGACTCGGGCATCAGCCACGCAGCACCTGCGCCAGACCTGGAATTCGACGACTTCGACCCCGAAGACGTTCGTTTCCCGACGCGGCATGCGAGAGAATCGCTAGCACCCATCTCTTCACACGACTACGAGCAAGGTGATGACGAGCGTCCTGAGAGTGAATCATCGTCAGATTCCAAATCGGCACCCGCGATCCGACCTTGCCCTGCGCAGACCCTGCGTTACCGCCGCCGTTGCGCTCCAGTGTTGCTTGCTTCTTCTCCACGTGTCAGCGACGTAGTCTTTGGAAAAGGCCAACGCTTCCGCATTAGCGTCAAGGCGCACATGCTCGTCGACTATACCCCGCACCCACCCCGTTACGACGTACATGGTTTCGCGAGGTCCAAACGCTCTGCAAGGCTTACAACGATCCACAGCTCACCAACAGCCACCGCAGACAAAACTGAATCCGCTGCTGCCTCATCAGAGAGACCCAGCTCGCCTATTCGTGGTGTCAGTGATGATTCCATCACGTCAATCACTTTCGGCGAAGACCTAGGCCCTATGCGCTCCAAGTCAAACAGCGATGCTACAGGCCCATCAGGCCCACCATCGCCGTCTGGCATGTCGCAAACAAAGATGGATACCGCGCGTCAACTGAAGACGTTAGGAAAGCGACGAACGAGCGAGGACAGTCGCGAGACAGGCCTGAGCGCCGTCACAATTGGTGCCGGCTTGATGATCTGAGCATCCATCATACATTACATCTACACATACTCTCTTATGTCTTGCTGCATCACTGGGCGTCAACCGAGCCTACACTCGGCTTAGAGGGACCACTACTTTTCTTTTTAGCGTTTGCACTGGTGTCATAAGCCGGAAGGAGGATATACCCATTTTACTTTGTACGGCATATAACGAGAGCGTTTGCGTTGGGCTAGCAGTCGTAGTCGACGGCAGCGGGTCGTCTGTATATAGGCCATGCTGACATTAATCAAATTCATCTATAGAAATGACCCGTGCATGTAATCTTTCCATAGCTCCACCTCTCAAGCAAAGTCGCGATCCTGACACGTCTAAAACTTGACATAGCCCTTGTCCTTGACAAACGTAGCTAACCACGGTACATCCCTTTCTTGCTGCACCAACTGCGCATAGAATGCGCCGTGCGCAGGGCCATCTACACCGTTTAGCATGGGTGCACCATCTGCAAATGTAAAGTTATGAAGTTAGTGTATCTCTCATATGCGGTTTGTATAGTCATTTTCTTACCATGCTGTCGTTGGTCTGCATAGAAGAACCTATAACCCGATATTAGCAGAACATCCCATGTCCAACCCACACGTTGACAGCAAGAGAAGTGTTGCGTAGAGGGAAAAAAACAACTCACCGATACCCCTTCTCCTTGTACAAAGCATCTGCCATGCCAACCCAATGCGCACTCGCGCTCTTTCCCACACCCAGTGTCAAGAACAGCGGGACAGGCGCAATGGTCTGATTCAGCGTATTGCCAGTGTAGATAAACGTCTTCTTATCCCCTGCATGCTCCTCCCCCATGCTTTCCCAGCTCTTGACCGCTTCCTGCGCTGCCACATACGGACTCACGGTATTGACATTCAGGTCTTTGGCAAATTGTTCCTGGGATATGGATAGCACGCTCTCTTCCACAGGGGGAGGCGTCAGCGCGGCAGCGTTCCAGACCACAACGTTGGGCGATGTGCCGTACTCTTTTAGCACGAGCGAGAAGAGGTTGGGAATGGATGTTGGCGCCGTGAAATCGGCTTTCAGGGTGAGGATGCCCGTGTCGGGGTTGATGCTGTTCGTGCCGGATCGGGAGGCAGTTGCAACGCGGTAGTTCAGGATGGTGAATGAGGTGCTTATGGCTAAGCCTACATTGGGGCCTGCGCCGAGAATGAGGGCGACGGGTTTGGTGGACATGATGTTGGATTGATGCTGCCCAGGTGCGTGAGGCGGTACGATGAGACAAGAGACAAATGGGGCCAAGATACAGAAGCGGTTGGTGGTCCTATTGAAGATGCATGTGCCCTCCGTTGATACTTATATGCAGTGGGACGGACAATCAGGCAGCCTCCCATCCATCCGCCAGCTTCCAGAGTCCCGTTGCATTTATAATCTGTGCTGCATACCTGTATGTCAGCACAATCACCCCGGACTTTGCTTTCATACATTCTCGCTCTTTGCCAGTCGTTGAGTAGGTGAGAAGCCAAGAGGACGAATCCAGAAGGAGGACGTCGGGAACGTGCATGAAGAGTTACAAACAGGACGTAATCGGTGCCAAGCGAAGACTTACCAATCAACATGACTTGGCGAATCGGGATATTTGGCC